TGTCATCTCAAGACAGGGACATGAAGGCCTGGGAAGGACCTATCTAAGGTCACCAGCCAGGACTTCAGACAGTACAAGTTCCATAGCTGGGCACCTGCACTCACACCCCAGCAGTTCTATATTCTTGGGCCAGTTACAGAACCCGTCAGTGCCTCGATGAGATGGGACTCATTCAGGTACTTCAGAGTATTGCCCATTTTACAGAACAGAAGAACAAGGGGCGATGCATGGACAATCTCAGCACGATGCCGGGTCCACGGCACATGCTCAGTCAGTGTGCACTGGCACTGTGGTTACTGTTGTTGTTACTCTGGGAGCAAAGGCCGGGCCAGAGACCAAAATCTCTGCCTCTGCCCCAGACACTAGGAGCAACAGGAAACTGAGGCCCAGGGACCAGCTGGCCTACGTGACCCAGGTCCACAGCCAGGAAGCCCACCTGACTTCCCCTGGCTGAGCCATCCCTCGGCTTCCTGGGGCCTGGCCCTCTGGCTTCCAGCTCCTTCCTCGACTTTGAAGGTCCTTTGAGCTGAGAACTAAAGCCCCAGGAGCTTTTCCCTTTTCTATCCCGCGAGCTCCAGCTATGTCTCCAAAGGGCCAAGTCCCAGCCATTGTGGATGAGGCTCAGGACTCAGAAGGCCTCCGTGTGAGTTCCAGCTCCAACCCTGAGGAGCTCTGTGACTCTGGGGGCATCACTTCAGCTCTCTATAATATAGAAACTGTGTCCTCTGTAATATAGGAACCATACCACCTGTTTTTAAATGGTAAACTCTGGGGGTATGCTATTAGTTACCCTCTTTCAAGGCCTAGTTCAGCTATCTCCTCCTCCAGGAAGCCTTCCTTGGCTTCCTTAAAACAAAAGTTCCCTCCTTCCAGCCTCTTGGTATTCAGGGGCTGCATCCTGGCCCCTCTGGGAGTTTGAACCCATTTTGCCTCACACAGACTTTAGCTACAAATTCCACCCCCCATTTTGCAGCCCCAGAGGCGTACAAAGGTAGGGTGGCTCAGGCCCTCTTGCAGGGAGGTGTGCCAAAGAGGTGGTTGGGGTAAGGCATGGAGGCTGCTCAGGGAGGAGCCACTGTCCTTGAGGGGAGAACAGTTTAAATAAATTCAGCCTTGGCAGGTGGCCTAGAATGCGGGAAGTCCTCAGATGGGGAAGGAAGGTCTGAGGAAAGAACACTTTCCAGCACCTGGCGCCGACACAGCCGCGTAAGCTCTACTCTGTTTCTTCAGTTTCCATTTGTGGCTACCAGGAGTCTGTTTCTAAAGGCTACGGAGGTGGGAACACTCATCCCTCCGTTCCTTTCTTGCCAGCCATGTGTGTCTATGTGCACAGCCAGCGTCAGAGGGACAGCTACCCCTGTTTGACAGATGAAGACATAAGCTCAGAAAAGCCAAGCCATGTGTGATTGCTACTTGGTACTATCAGCAACGCCACCACTCTTTCCACTCCAAGCTTGACGTCACTATGTTTTGTTCACTAACTCAACGCCTGCGACTCTACCCCATGCACCTCAAAGCCATGCAGGAGCCCGGCTTGGCCACTGGAGCCCTCTTGGCCCACCTGGGCGTCATTCAGCACCCAGCTACTTCACGCCTCCACCCTGCCCAAAGCCTCACATGGAGCTGAAACGCGCCAAGCCTAACATTTAAAGTTCGTCTTTCCAGCTCCTAGATCACACTTCTGGTGCCTTCCGCACCACACTCCCCACCATGGCAGACAACGCCCTGAACTAGAGGCAGCCAGAGATTCTGACCAATTTCTGTCATCCTGAGCTGTGCGAACTTGCATAAGACACTCAACTTCTCTGAGGCAGCATCCTTATTTATAAAGTAGGATGACAAGAAAATGTCTGCTCCTCACAGCGATCCTCACAAGGACTGTTGTTATAAAGAGCCAGAGAGATAAGGCATCCAGCCCAGAGTTGCAGTTTCTATTCCTTGCCTTGTCCTCAGTATTCCCACTCTCAGGAGACCACAGAGCCACTCCCAGTGAGGAAACTCACTACAATGTATTGTACCCAGGCACAGCCACTTTCACAACCTCAACAGCGCTGGGAAATGTCCAGGGTCACGATTAGATTAAGAACTCTGGAGTCAGATGCTTAAGTTCAAGCTCCTACTTAGCAACTCAGTAGCTGCTAAGCAAGTAACTTAACGGTTCGGTGCCTCAGTTTTTTGATCCCTAAAATAGGGCTGTAGAGAAGATGAAAGGAGTTTATACAAGAGAAGAACTTACTGCAGTGCTTGGCACAGTTAATGGTCAGCACACAGTAGTCTCATTACTTCCAATTTCACTTCTGGAACTGGTCCTCAAAACAGTCCCATGAAGTTGCTGAGGCAGGAATTATGTGAACCCAAGTGGTCAGGTGAGGAAATGGAGGCAGGAGGGAAAGATGTGTTACAGGCATAGACTCAGGCAGTCTGTGTGACTTCAGCCACGCACAAGTCACAAAGCCAACTTTGGGTTAGGTCTGAAAGTGAACGGGGAGGCTGACTAGCAAACACATTCAAAACCCAAAAGGATTCAACAGAGAGGGTGCCTGTCCAAGTGCCCCGCTACCCTTCCTGTGCAGTGTAGGGCTGTGGGCCTGCCCACCTGTTGCCGCCCTCCCTCAGACCTTGTCAGTGCTCCCTGGCTGGCAGGGCTGGCCTGTCTTGGAGGGTGTCCCAGCGCCTGGCACACAGCAGCTGCTCCTGAATCATGAGTGAATGACCGCCTAGGTCTGTCTCTAAGGAGAGCCCTGTTTTTCTGTTCTTCCACTGCAGCCACTGTCTGCTAACTAGCTCCCAGTCCCACAGACACTCCGAAACCCTGTGCACTCTGAGAAGAAACTTCAAAATCAGTCGCGCTTAGGCTATGCAAACACCACCACGTCCAGCAAAGGCAGCCGGCAGCGTTTCACGCGGGGCCTGGGGCTTCCAGGGGACCTTCCAGGAAACAAACACTTTCTCCAGGTCCCCTCCTTCCTGGTGTGCTACGTGACTCACAGCCGGGCAGGACCAGCAGGAAATCGCGGTCTACTAACCAGGGTAGCTCAAAAAGGTCTTCACTGTGACTCGGCAGAAAAGCGGCGGGCGGCGGCGCCCGGGCCCCGCCTACACCTACCAACGGGAGGATGCGCGCGGGGGTGTGGCCGGGGCGGGGCCAGGGCACGGCCCTCGCGACCCGGGATTCCGAATACTACACACCCGTCAGCTCCGCGATTGGCCGCTCCGGCCACGGGGGCCTATGGGGTGGTCCTCGCCCAGCCAATCAGGGGCCCTGGGGAGCCCATTCATTCACAAAAACCGAGCATGGAAAGGAGCGCAGTACTGCCCGCAGCTGCGTGGAACTTTGAAACACGCGCGCGTCCCGCGGGGCCGAGGCAGGAGTCTGAAAGGGCCGTGTCGCGGGAAGCTAGACCTTTGTAGGGATTGCCGCGTCCCCGCCCACAGCTCCGGCCCAGCCTCCCAGCATGGTGAGCCCTCCTCCCCCGGCACTCCGCCTGGGGCTCCGCCCCCGGCCCCACCAGGACATGCCAGCTTTCCTACCCCCTCCGGGTAGCTAAGAGCCACCCAGCCCTGAGGGAGGCGGTGCTCAGGCGGTTTCCCGGTAGCAGGCTCCGGCGACAAGGCCCGCGCAGGTGGCAGCGCCGTGGTTGCAGCCACGTGCGCGCCGAGCGCGGTGCCCGGCACCGTTAGTCTTCTCTCCCCGGGTCTGAGCTCCCGGGCCCGCCACTCACGGCAGTCGTCCTCGTCGCTGTGGTCCGAGCAGTCATCGTCCTCGTCGCATCTCCACACAGAGGGGATGCAGCGCTCGTTTCGGCACCGGAATTGGTCCTCTTCACACTCCTTGGCTGGCCCTGCGTGGGGAGGGAGCGTGAGCTAGATCAGCGGACTCGGCCCCGCTCCCCACCTTGCAGCCCCTGCCACCCGGAAGGGTCCGCTGGGGAAGCGGAAAGGGGACGATTATGGAGACTCCAGGAGCTTCGGGGACACTCGACCCAAAGGGAGGGAACGATGGCAGGGAGTCGGTGGATGAAGGGCCGCTGGGTGGCACGAAGAGACCAGGCACCTCCTTACAGCATCACACGACTAGGGCATACTCTCCATTCAGACGCACTCACCCGCACACACGACCCATAGTCACGGATCCGCGCAGATACAGCCCATAGGGAGCCCCCGCACCCGCGCGCCACGCGCACTGGGAGCCGCGGGCACATGCCCCTGGCAGGCAGCCCCTCTCCCTCCGCCGCGCGCAGGGGTCTGCGGAAACGCATTGTCAAGCGGAGCAGCCGCCTGGCTCCGCTCATTACCGCCGCGAAGCGCGCGTGTCAAATAAACCCCAACGGCGAGAACCACAGAGCTCATCCGGAACCATGAACAGCCGCCCCTCCCGCAAAGTTCCCCGCCGGCCAAGCCCCCTGCACCCCTCCCCCAAGAGCCTCTGCCCCGAGGGCAGAGCCCTCATCACTGAGGCCCGAGGGTGCGGGGGGGGCCGAGGGCAAATTCAGGAATAGCTCCGTCGCGGGGAGCCTGTCTTGCCTGGCGCCCCCAACAGCCCAGGGTTCGCGCCCCGCCCCGCCCCGCCCCATCCCGGACCTCCGGGCCGCGCTTTGTTGGCGGCCGGGGCGGCTCAGAGCCGAGCCTGGGACCGGCCGCACGCACCTTGGCCGCCGAGCACCGGATCAGCCGCCGCCGCAGCTGCGAGATGCTGGAGCCGCAGCAGCAGCAGCAGCGCCAGCAGCGCCAGCGGCCGGAGCGCGCCCCGCTCGGGGCGGCCCATGGCGGGCCCCGGGCTCCCCGCACCGCCGCAGCCGCCGCCGCCCCTCAGCTCTCCGAGTCCTTGCCGTGGCGCCGGGTCTGCCGCTGCCCCCGCCGCCGCTGCCGCCCGCCCCGGCTCCTCGGCTGCATTTCAAGCAGGTTCGGTGACGCTCGGCGGCGGGGCGGGCTCAGGCTGGGCGCGCGGCCCCGGCCCTGGGCGGCCGCCGCCGGCGCGCGCGCTCCCTCCCGCTGCCGCCTCCGCCCCACGCTCCCCCTGCCGCCGCCTCCTCGTCCTCCTCCCGCCTGTCCTTGGTCCACTCTTCCCTCAGCCGGCGCTCCACGGCCCTGTTTGGGGCTCGCCTGAGGGCTGGGCTCTGTAGACGCGGGGATGGGCCAGGCGAGCCCCTGACCCCCGGAGGTAGCAGGTCCAGAGGAATCAGCAGAGGCTTCCTGGAGGAGGTGACAGGCAGATCAGAGGCCGAGAGATGTCTAGGAGTGAGCCTGGGCAGGAGGGGAAATGATGTTCCAGGGCGCACAGGCCTGTGCAGTGTATGCGTGGGGCGGACGAGGAAGGGATGGGGGTGGGGTACCAAGATGTGGATGAGCAGGGAGAACCTGGGGGCGCAGGGCTGGACCTCTGCACCTGTCATGGACTCCGGCTGGGATATTATAGATCCTTGTGGCTGGTTTCGTTTCAGTGCCCATGTGCATCTGTGCATGTTGTACGCTCATGTGATCATGGGAGGGGATGTAAGGCAGGTGGCTTGGGCCTGGTGCACAGACTATTCATCGCCGTGGGCTCCAGGGACCTAGGCAGAGGGGCAATCAGGGGGCCCCGCAGGGACGACGAGGAATCCAGGACTCTTCGCTGCAATGGAGAAAGACGAGATGTGAGGGGTCGGGGCCCAGAAGGGATGCCATCCCTGCCACTAGGGCACGTGCGATTAGGCCCATGCTGTCCTCCCCTGCTGTCCTCTGCTGGAAGGGGAAAGCACCTCCTCCTCTGGAGGGCTGCAGCCCACCTCACCAACGCTGGGGAGAATGGTGCAGAGAGTAGAGCTGGAATTCGATTTCAGCTGCAGGCTTGTTAGCTGGATCCAACCCACACAACCTTCTTTAGAGAATGAGATTCCAGGGCATTGGCGGCTCAGCCACCCCACCAGAAAGGGGCTTAGACTCCCCAGAGAGCCCAGGACGGTGCTCCTGCCATCATCACCCCTTCTGTCCCTTGTTCATTCAGTCATTCAGCAAGCACTTCAGGCCCTGTTCTGGGCCAACCCTGTGCTGGGCCTGTGGGTGCAAAGGTGAATCAGACGGGGTACCAAGGTGAATCAGACGTGGTGCCAGCCCCAGAGAGGTCCCTGACCAGTGGAGAGACAGACCATTAGCATACAGACAATGAAATGCAGGCATACTTTCACCTACATGTGCCAAACACCGTTCAAGGCTCAAGGATAGAGTGTGGAAACAGTAAGGTTCCTCCCTGCTCTCCTGCAGCTATGTTTTAGTTGGAAGAGATACACACAGAATCAGGAAAACAAAAGATTATTTCAGGTCATCATAACTTCAACAAGAAAAACAAAACAGACAGATGTGAAAGCAATGGGGTAACTGTAGAGAAGGTGATCATGTAAGGCCTCATGGAGGAGGTGACATTTCACTGAATGGCAAGATGGATCCTGACCCATGAAGATCGGGGGAAGGGCATTCCTGGCAGAGGGAACGGCAATGCAGAGGCCTCAAGGTGGGCTGGGGCCTGATGACAGCGAAGGAGTGGGTGCCTCAGGTGAGGCTAGAGGGAGTTGGCAAGGCTCTGATTACCAGGGCTCTGTAGGCCACAGCCAAGAGTTTGGACTCTGTGTCAAGCACAAAGGTGCCGGGGACTGTGGGACCAAGATAGAAGCCGGTCCTGCCCCCTAAACTGACCGATCTAGCTCAGTCCCTCCTCCTCTTCCACTCAGTGGTCGTAGGGAGGTCAATCCTATCTCCGAGTCTCACTTTCTCATCTGGGAAATGGAAGAGATAAGGAATTTCTGAAATTCATTCTAACTGTAAGATTAGTGTGTGGGCTGAAGTATAGAGGCAGCAGGTGGAAAGATGAAGAGCGCCGGCCTGTGGGTCAGACTGCCTGGGTTTCAGTCTGTTCTTTACCTTTCTAGTTATGTGAACTTGGGCAACTCAAACTCTGTGGCTCAGTTTCTAAACCTGAAAAAGGAGAAAGGTGACAGTACTCACCTCACGGGGTTGTGGTGAGGATATTAGATAAGATTGTATATGTACAGCATACAGTAGATAGTAGGTGCATGATAAATGTTAGTTATTGTTACTATTACTCAAACACAATTCCCTGTTCACAAACCTCAGATGGCTTTCTAATACTCAGAACCAAGACTGAGCCCAGGCACTCTCCCACCTCCTCAAGGGAGTCCTTGCTCATACTGTCAACACACAGCCAGTTGCCAAAATGGGCAACTCCTTGTATCTCAGCAGCCCCCTCAGCAGAGGTCCCCCTGGCTCCTCTCAGCCTCTACCCACTTTAGGCCACTTCCCTGGGCCCCTGCATTCCCTGGGCTTCCCTTTGTCACAGCCCTGACCACCCTGTGTTGCCTGGGTCTGCTTATGCAATTGTCTCCCTAGTCACTCTGCGGGCTCCCGGAGGACAGAAGCCCGCTCGCCTGCATTCTTGGATTCTTGGCACAGGGCACATTTGACCAATGCTTGTTTCTGTCTTTATTGAAGGTTTTTGTACCCCTAGGAGGACTGCGTCTTCCTCATCTTTGTCTTCAGAAGATAAATACAAGGCCTGACACATAGCAAGCATTAGGTAAGCTACGTGTGCTTGAAAAAGTTAAAAGAAAACTGCATAAAATAATAGCAATAGCTAATATTGATTGTATACTTGCTGGGGGTCAGGCACCATTCTAAATGTTTTACTTTTTTATTTTATTTTTTTTTTTGAGGAGTCTCTCTGTCACCCAGGCTGGAGTGCAGTGGCGCCATCTCGGCTCACTGCAACCTCCATGTCCTGGGTTCAAGCAATTCTCCTCCCTCAGCCTCTGGGGTAGCTGGTATTACAGGCGCCTGTCACCACGCCCAGCCAATTTTTGCATTTTTAGTAGAGATGGGGTTCCACCACATTGCCCAGGCTGGTCTTGATCTCCTGACCTCAGGTGATCTGCCCGCCTTGGCCTCTCAAAGTGCTGGGATTACAGACGTGAGCCACAGCACCCAGCTTAAATTCTTTTTCCTGTTTAATCCTTATGACATCTTTATGAGGCAGGTTTTGTGTTTATCCTATTTTATAGATGGGTAAACTAAGCAGCAGAGCGGTCACACAGCTAGGAAATGACGAAGCCTGCGTGGGAACCCAGAGGGTGGAAGTGGGAATTTTTCAGGGCACATAAACTGGTTAATTTCTGTGAGGGGCAAAGGGAGAAAGCCCAGTCCTTGAAACATGAGACACCAAATGGCCACTGAGGTCCTGGTACAGCTTCTGCCACCCAGTTGACTCCCTGTCCTCCGCTACCCTCTCTCCATCCTGGGCTGACTCAAGCTTTCAGACACTGCCTACCCTAAGTTTCCAAAGAAAACTCCTAAACCCAACTCCAAATGTTATGAATTTCCCCATGAGACAGATGTAGGTGACATTTCACCTGCTGTCAGCATGGCGCCCTGCCACTCCAAGTCTCCATGTTGGCCCCCAGCAGCCCACTTTCTGCACGCTATCTACTCTTTTACTCTGCCCCCCAGGAACTGGAGCTTCAGACCTCCGCCAGGCTGTGCCCTCTGCCTAGAACACTCCTGCATGGGTTGGCTTCTGTTTGCCCTTTGGGCCTCACCTCCAATGCCTCCTCATCTGGGAAGCCTTCTAGCCTCCTACACAGAGATCCTCCCTGCTCCTCTGGAGCCCCGTGGCGCTGTGCGTCCCAATCTCCCTGATCACACTGGACTGTCGTTGTTGGCTCCTCCTTCCAGTGGGAGCTCCTCCAGTCAGAAACAGGATCATCCTGGTTCTTGCTCTGTCCCCAGTAATGACACCTCTCCAGGGCCAGAGGGCCTTCTGCGCTCACCTCACCCAGATTGCTCTGGCAGGCCTTGTGCTAGGTGAGGGACACAGATGAACAAGACTCTACCTCTTCCCTGGAGGAGCTCTGGTGTGGAGGCAGAGAGAGCCTGGACAGAGAGTGTCAGCCCAGGGGAACAAGAGCCAGGGAGGGGTCTGTTAAGGGGCCTCAGATTCCACTGCCAGGGACCTTAGGCCGAGTCACCAGCCCAGCCAGGGTCAGAGACCAGCAGCCCCAAGCCAATCACAGCCGAGCTGCAAGGGCAAGGGCGCGCTCCACTGTCCTCCACTGTGCGCTTCACTTACACTTCACTTCACTTCTCTACTGCCTTCACATGGTACTGCGAGCCCATGACACACTTCTCTGTGTCACTGTCTCTCTGTGTTTGTGTCTCTGTCCCTTTCCCCCTCTCTCTCTGAGCAGGCAAAATGTCCTGATTCCTGTAAAAGAGAGATTCTAATTTATTACCTGAGCTTTACATAGATCCAAACGGCCATGGTTTAAACCACCTGTTGCCCGTGTGACCTGGGGCAAGTTACTTTTATGCCTCAATTCTCTCATTTGCAAAACATGGATAGCATTAGCTAATGTTTCCTAATGCTATCAATTACCTATTGCTGCCAAACAAATTACCCCAAAACTTAGCAGCTTCAAACAGAAATACACATTTATAATCTTTCACAGTGTCTGTGGGCCAGGAACTGGGGAACAGCTTAGCTGCATGGGTCTAGTTCTGGGTCTCTCATGAAGTTGTAGTCAAGATGTTGGTGAGGCCGCAGTCCTCTGAAGGTTTAACTGGGACTGGAGTGTCTGGGCCGGCTCACTCACACGGCTGGCAAGTCCCTTTTGGCTGGAGGCAGGAGGACTCCATTTTTCACCATGTGGCTCACTCCAGAGGACTGCTTGAGTGCCCACATGACATAGCTGGCTTTCCCTAGGGAGACTGATCAAAGAAAGAGAAAGCAATGAAGTCACAATGTCTTATATGAGCTGACCATGGAAGTCATGCTCCCTCCTCTCTGCAATATCCTGTTGGTTACATAGCTCAGCCCTATTCTATGCAGAAGGGAATTACATAGGAATGTGACTCCCAGGAGGTCTATATGGGGGCTATCTTGGAGGCTCGCTGCCACACTGTCGTATGATTTGTGAGGATGAATTAAGTTAATACAGTTGTTCCTCTGTATCCATGGGGGACTGGTGCCAGGACCTCCTACTGATACCAAAATCCTCAGATGCTCAAGTGCCCGATAGAAACTAATGCAGTATTTGCATATAATCTGTATACATCCTCCTGTATACTTTACATCATCCATCATCTCTAGGTTTTTTATAATACCTATACAATGTAAACGCTATGTAAATAGTTGTTATGCTGTATTGTTTAGGGAATAATGACAAGGAAAAAAAAGCCTGCACATGTTCAGTACAGATACAATTTTTTTTTCCTGAATATTTCTGATCTGCCGTTGGTTGAATCAAGGATTTGGAACCCATGGATAGAGAGGGTCAACTATGTATACACTTATGCAGTGTGTACTAGCTACTCAAAGCCCTTCTAGGAACTTAGGTATATACTATATAAGTCTTCGCTATCATTATTGCCGTTGTGGTTGTTTCTGCTACGCAGTAAGAACTCTGTAAGGGTTATCTACAGTTAATATTAGCGGCATTGTTGCTATTCGCTGCAGAACCCCTTCACTGTGCAGAGGAACGGAGAGGATGAAGGTGGTTCCGGGGTTCGTAGAAAATCAGCCTCCGTGTCTTGCCTCTTGGCCATGTGCTTTCAGGAGGCTGGAGTCACAGTACCTCCTCCTCCACTGCCTTATGTAGGATACTGAGTGGGTCCTGCTCTCTCTCTGGGCCTGGGTTGCCCATCTCTAACCTGAGGGGTTGCCCTAGGTCACTATTTCCTGTAACTGCAATCATTCCCATCCGCTTGAGTGACTTTCTCTATTTCCCCTTACCTGCTATTGCCTTCCCAGTGTTCCCCTTAATTCCTTTCACTTAGACTTAGCTTCATCCTAAGCAATAATCTCCATGAAATCACAGGCTTGATACGCTTATTATGTTTTTCCAATACACATTAAAGTAAATGTGTGGCTATTCATGTAAACAATGAGCCTCTGTGCCTGCAGATGTGTCTCTTTTCTCTAAGGGCCATCAGCTCTGAGCTCCCTGTTTATTCCAGGGCGGATGGAGGGCAGGAGCCCTGACTGCTCTGCCCATGCTGACAGGCATTCCTCAAGGTGACTTGTAGGTGGCTCAGGCCCTGGGTGCGCACCCTGAGTCACATGGCCTTCGGGGACAGGCTTAGTACCTTTCTGTTGCTTCTATTTGGGGTTTGTTTTTATTTTTTAAATTGTTTTTTATATTTTTATTGATTGACTGGTTGAGACAGGGTCTCGCTCTGTCACCCAGGCTGGACTGCAGTGGTGCAATCTTGGCTCACTGTGATTTCCACCCACCCCCGCCCCCCACCAGCCTGAGACTCAAGCGATCCTCACACCTCAGCCTCCCAAGTAGCTGGGACTACAGACACACACCACCACATCTGGCTAAGTTTTGTATTTTCTTTTTTAAGTAAAGACAGGGTTTCGCCATATTGCCCAGGTTGGTCTTGAACTCCTGAGCACAGGCGATCACCCGCCTCAGCCTCCCAAAGTGCTGGGGAGTACAGGGGTGAGCTACCTCAAAATCCCCTTCCGTCCTCCCCGCCAGCCCCAGAAACCACCATTCTACTTCCTTTATTTATGAGTTTGACTACTCTAGGTACCTCATGTAAGTGAAATCATACAGTATTTATTCTTTTGTGAGTGGCTTATTTCACTTAGGGTGACACCATCAAGGTTCATCCATGTTGTAGCACGTGTCACAATTCCCTTCCTTTTTAAGGATGGGGATACTGCATTGTATGTCTATTCCACATTTTGTTTCTTCCTTCACCCATCCGGAGACACTCGGGTTGGTTCCGCATTTTAGCTGTTGTGTATAATGCTGCTATAAACATGGGTGTACAAATATCTCTTCAAGTCCTTGCTTTCAGTTCTTCTGAATATACTCAGAAGTGGAATCGCTGGATCATACTGTGTTTCTAGTTTTTGTTTTTTGAGGAACCACCATCGTGTTTTCCGCAGCAGTTGTATCATTTTATGCTCCTGCCGACAATGTGTAAGAGTTCCAGTTTCTCTATGTCCTGGCCAAAACTTGTTATTTTCTGTATTGGTTTTAGTTTGTTTGTTTGTTTTTGAGACGGAGTCATGCTCTGTCGTCAGGCTAGAGTGCAGTGGTGCAGTCTCCGCTCACTGCAACCTCCGCCTCCCGGGTTCAAGTGATTCTTCCGCCTCAGCCTCCCAAGTAGCTGGGACTACAGGTGCGTGCCACCATGGCCGGCTAATTTTTGTATTTTTAGTAGAGGCGGGGTTTCACCATGTTGGCCAGGATGGTCTTGATCTCTTGACCTCGTGATCTGCCTGCCTCAGCCTCCCAAAGTGCTGGGATTACAGGCGTGAGCCACCGCGCCCGGCCTGTTTGTTTTTTATAACACAGAGCTTTGTTGAGTTGTAAGAATTGTTATATCTTTTAGATATTAACCCCTTATTAGATATATGGTTTGCAAATATTTCCTCCCATCCCCATCATCAGCCTTTTCACTCTATTGATTCTGCTCTTGGTACACAGAATTTTTCTTTTTTTCTTTCTTTTTTTTTTTTTTTTTTTTTGAGACGGAGT